TTGGGCATCTCAGAGGAAGAATCCTCCACCAGCTGAACCCCAAGGCCAGGGATGGGACTGAAGGCACTCTGCCTAGCTCCCTAGCCACACCTAAAACATCTCCAGAGGAACAAGGATTACAATTCAGCAGGGTTGTGTTAATTTGCAGGCTGGAAGAGGGTAATAAAGATATATTTGAAAGCCAGTTGGCAAGGCAGGCAGGTCTCCCAACTGAAAAGGTCTTTCAGCACAGGAAACAAAACTCACCTCAGGTTTTTAAACCACACTATGCATTCCCCAGAACAAATGAGTCTTTAGAATTATACTCATCCTAATAAGTCAAGAAAACACTCTCACTGCCATCAGAGAATGACTGGCCTTTGTATCATCCTGAGGACCTGCTATGGCCACAGCCAGCAGGGTGCCCAGGCAGGGGTGCCCCAAGTCCTCACTGGGACATCCCTGAAGCATAAACAAGTCGACCCAAATCCACAAACAAGTTGAGATCCCCAGTTCTTTAACGGATTCCTCTTTTTCAGAACCATGACTGATATCTGACATAGAACTTGGCTCTTGGGGGCAAACACAAGGACGTCAGGGACAACAGTCTGCCTGCCAACCTAGGGTGCTATTTTTGCCCAGGTTAAGGATGACCTTGATGAGGCCAGGGCCTCATAAAATGAAGCCCCCTTATCAAACCACTGAGGGAGGAGATGGAGGGGCATAGGGTCCCTCAGCCCTTCCTGGTCCAGCGCCCTTTGCTCTCTTGGACCTGAGCAAATGCGCCACTGGGGGTGGGGGGTGTGGCCCCCTAAAAGTACTGATTCTGCCTTCAGCTTCCCAGCAGAAAGGAGGCAGCCACGGGCGTTCCAACCCTCCACACCCTGAAAGGCTCAGCTGCCAAAGGCAATGGGCTCCCAAAGGAGCTACAGGAGGTGGACACAGGCCAGGCCAGGCCTGGCCCCAACCAATCTCTCCTCCTTGGCTCTGAAATTCTTAACAGGGACTCTAAGAAATGATGATGACAGGGTGGGGCTGGCTTCATTCCTTCTCCAGTAACAAACATTCCTGAGGCCGCTGGGGGCCTACTGACCCTCAGTGTCCATCTCACCCCTCCACAGCCTTGCTGGAATTCAAGCCACTAGGTGACATTTTACAAATCAGTCTCCCCCCTCCCTCTTAAGGCTTTCAGCTGAATGAGCTGATGGGGAGAGCGCGGCAAAACTGGGCAAGACCACAGCTACCATCCTATCCAGTCTGCCTCCACAGGTTCAAGCAGCCCTGCATCTCTCTGCATGTGCCCCCCAGAAATGTAAGACCCGCAGTCTTAGAAGAAAGATCTCACTCCTGCCTTCCTCTGCAAGCTGGGCTGCAGTGTATGTTTTACTAACGGTAGATGGACTTCTTTTTTTTTTTTTTTTTTTTTTTTGTCTTTTTCGTTTTTATGGGTACCAGGGATCAAACATGACTGCCTGCTTGCAAGGCAGGCGCTTATGCCACTGAGCTAAATCCCCAGCCCTGGTAGATGGACTTCAAACTGCAAGTCAGGTTAAGCACACCTAGTGGTCAGGAATCAAGCATAGTCTGCATCTTTCAGCAGAGGTCTTGCAGGATGTCTGGGGTAAGCATCACATTCCCCCCCAGGAAGGGAGTGTAACTTCAAACTAGACCCAGAGAAGAGGCAGACCTTGCCCACAGCCACTCCCAAAGCTCAAGACAAAGGACTGGGGAGTCCCAGCTTCTATTTCCTTTCTCTGGCTACAAAAATGCAGATGAAGCAAGTATTTATTTGTGTTCCACTACACAAATAAAGCCTTTCCTTAGGGCCAACACTTCAGAAGAAAATGGCACTCCACACAAACCCTGGAAATGCCAAGGCTCATAACTAACCATGCTACCAGCCAGTCTTCCGGAAGAAATAAGTAACGGCTGAGACACTTCACAAGCAAAGGTTAATACCAACCATTAACCTCACAAAAGGGTTCAAATTCATAACTGGGCTACCAATAGGCAATGTCTGGGGAGCTTTTTGGTTGTCTCATCTGGAGACCCGCACCACAGGCATGGAACAACACAGAGGACAGCCCCACAACAGAGAATGATTCAGCCCAGAACATCACGAGGGTCCAGGCTGAAAAGCCATGTCACCTAACGGGTGCCACCAAGGTGCTCAAACTCCCTGGGTAGCCTGGGCTGCTCTGTGTGTTGGCATCACAGGCAACACCCCACACCAAGGTTGAACCAGCTTAGGCCTGACGGCGCTCTTGGTTTATTTTTTGTGACGCGGGGTAAACTCAGGTCCTCATTCATGCTAGGCAACTACATGACCACTGTGTTACATACACAGCCCCTTTCAGATTTTTATGTTGTTTTTGGTGTACTTGGGATTGAGCACACGGGGCCACACTCATATTAGGCAAGTGCTCTGCTGCTGTGCTATGTCCCCAGTCCTTTTCTAAAAAATTTTATTTTGATACAGGGTCTTGCCAAGTAGCTAAATTGCCCAGGCTGGCCTCAAGCTTGTGATCCTCCTGTCTCAGCCTCCTGGTTAGCTGGAATTACAGACAGGGCCACCACTGCACAAGTTCTGCACTCCCGTGAGACTTTCAAAGGACTCACACATATCCTCATGAAAAGAATACGTGCTTTTTTTCCTTTTGGATCAAGCTTCCCCCAAATCAGAGTCTGTTAAACAGAAAATGAATCCCCTGCGATATGTGATGACTCTAATAGGTAACTGATTACAAAGGTTTTTATTTTTCTTAAGTGCAAAAAAACTATTAGAATAATGATTATTTAATGAGTTCCAGTGAACTATTCAGCAACTTCTGCGACAGGAAGGAAGGACTGGAGTCCTGGATTAATGTAATTCTGGTTGTAGAATTTTTCCCCTGGTCCACCACAAATGGCCCATTTCCACTTTTTAAGTGGTCATCAATGGACACACTTCCTTTCGCCCTTTGTAAGTTGTGGGACAGCTAGTTGCCAGCTGTCAGGCTGTAGGCAAGCATCATGGATGATCAATCTTGCGCCTTTCAAGAGGCATAAGAAATACTGCTGACACTGTACAGAGGCTGTTTATGCACATGGAGAAAACAGACAAAGGCCCTACTCTGTTCCGAATCTCTTCCATCATAAACAATAAGATCCCAACATTCCAGTCACATTGGACCCACAAATAAATGAAGCAGGGCCCACTGGGTCTGAGCAGTCCCCCCTTCAATTTCTAGAAGGCACAGAACACTGAGAATGCAGGGGGCAGGGTAGGAAGGAGGAGGGGCTCTGCAGACCCTCCCTCAACTTCTCATGAAACTACTCAGTGAAAGAGACCTCCAAGTGTCTTATACTATGAAAGGTCAAAATGCAAGACACTTCATGTTAAATAATGTTTTACAACTGACCTCACCTGCTATAAAGACAAATGGTCTGAGGAAGACATTTGGAATTGAATAAGTATCTTTAAAAAAAATGAGCAGGATATGGTGGTGCATACTTGTAATACCAGCACTCTGAAAAGCTGAGGCAGGAGGATCACAAGTTCCAGCTCAGCCTGGGCTCTACACAGCAGCTTATGGAGACCTGGTCAGGAAATCAAAACAATTTTTAATAATTCATAAAGTGGGCTAAGGATGTAACTCAGTGCAAAGGTGTTGAGTTTAATCCCCACTATTACACCAGAAAAAAAAAAGTTAAAGAAAAAGAAACACTAAAGGATTATGTGATTTACCTGCTGGCTTTCTCACTGTTGCCATCAGAAATGGCCTCTTAAATTTGTCCTCTACAAGATATGGGCTAAGCTGCTTTACGAAAGACACAAACCATGCCCTTGCTGGCCATTTTAGGGCTGCCTGATGCCCTTTCAAAGAAACCGATATTTCAAAGGGATTGCACCCGGTTAAATTCGTAATTACCAAAGGCTCCTTCCCGAGTTCAGTATGAATTTAGTGCACAGCTAAACAAGCTCCTGTCAAAGTTTCTAGTTTGCAAATAGGTAAGAGAGAAAAGGGCTGAGGCATAGGTAAGCAGTATAGCACTGGGCCTGAGACTCTGGGTCCTATCTGTAACATGGACTGAGAGTCCCACGAGTGGGAAAGAAGCGGGGAAGCTTGGTTATCTCTGGGGTTAGAACAACAAAGCCATTTCACTTCCCAAAGGCCTCCCCGCGGGGCGGGTTAGGAGTCACTCCATTTCTTCCTGTAGTGGGGGAGGAAAGCAGAAAAACCTGCAAGTCACCTTCAAACGCTTCCAGCAGCCAAGAACATTTACATTTTAAAAGGAACTTTGTCCCTCCGACTGGCCTGGCTCGGCCTTTCCCAAAGTAACTGACCACTGGTCACTTTCCACTAGAAGAAAACACAAGGGTTGGTTGGTCGGCTTGTTTTTCCAGGTTCCTACAGACTCCGGTGGTAAATTTCAAGGCTTAACTTGGTTTTGAGCCTGGAGAATTCCAAGTTCAGAAGCAACCTCCCTCCCACACACACAGACACTGCAGTTAAGACGCAGAAGGAATTCTTATTATGGGAACCCAAGTCCTACAGTTACCGCAAAGTTTCTCTAAGTTCCTGCAGGTAGCCGGTGCACGAGGACATAGGGCTGGCAGCAGAAAGTCAGTAAATACTGATGGCTGATGGGAATCGAGAAGCCGGATCCGAGGCAGCTGCCCGGCTGGGTCTCTCCTTAGCGATAACGGGTGCAGGTTCCAAGCCGGGGACCTTGGCGAGGCCCACACAGGTGGGGACCGCTCTATCCAGCCCCTGGCTCCTCGGAGTCTCCCTCCCAGCACTTCAGGGCAGCCCCACAGGTGCGGATCACCGGCGTGGCTGAAGTGATAGGGGACCCAGGCAGGCCCTTTCCCGGAGGGGGAAGGGAAGGGGACCCGGAACAAGAGCCACTGGACGCCCAGCGGCGCCGGAACCACACACCTCCGCCGGCCTGGAGCGCAGGTCCACGCAGGTGACTCCCGCAGCAACACGGCTGGAGCACCCTACGCGAACGCAGCCCCCGGCGCGCAGCCGCCTCACCTTGGTGATGACCAGCGGCTCGCCGTGCTCTCGGCCGCCCTTCAGGGTGAAGCCCCAGGGAGCGCCGCCGCTCAACTGCACCTCCACCAGTCGCCCGCCGTCGCTCGCCCGCGCCTCGGCCTCCGTCAGGACCTCCATGGCGAGGCCCACAGCGACGCGCGCCCATGCGCCCGGCAAGCCCCGGACAGCCGACGGCAAGGGAGACTCTGGGCGCCCGCACCGCCGCCGCCCGCCACCAGCCACCAGCCACCCGCGAACTTGCGCTGCAACTTTGGGGCCGAGAGCCGGCCGCGCCGGGAGCTAGCTGGGAGGAGGGCGCGCGGGCGGCGGGGAGGGGGTGGCAGGGAGGGAAGGCGAGGAGGGGCGGGGCCCGCGCGGAGCAGGGGCGGGGCGCGTGCGCTGGGACCGCGTGCAACTCCACAGGCCCGGGGGCGGGGCGCACTCGGGGGCTCCGGCCCGTGCTAGAAGTTGGGGCGGGGGCGGGGGCGGGGCCTGGGAGAAGCGTTCGCGCTCTGGTCTTCGGCCTCTGCTGGAGATTAGGGGGCAGAGCTGAGGGCCGGGGGCTGGACAGGACCACCCCGCTTGTCTAGAGGAAGCCTGGGATCCAGGCGCAGGCGGCCGATCAGGGGTTCCGGCCTACTTGGAGGGTAGGGGTCTCCCCGAGGCTGGGAGGAAGGGGTCTGAACCCGGGGGCGCGCAATCTGGGGTCCCTCCCGGGTGGAAGATATCGGCATGTACCCGGAGTCGCGAGATCGGGGATGCCGCCCAGGGTGGATAGCGGCCCGCACCCGGGGGCCATTCCGGGTCCTGCCGGGGTGGAAGTTAGGGGCCCGGGGCGGGAGCCCGGCGCGCACTGAAGACTCGGCGCCGACTCCGAGCTGAGGCCGCATAGAGACGAGCCGATTGGCGTAGCTGGGGACGTGGAGCGCGCGCTCCGTGACCGGCGCCACCTGTGGGCCGGGGGAGGGCGAGGGTGGCGACGCCCAGAGGACCGGGCGCAACAGGTGAGTGGCGGAAGGGGCCGCGCGGGGCTGGGCGGGCTCTCGGTGGCGGCCACTAGGAGGCCCCCGCACCTTCCTCTGGCGGGGCGCGGACGCTCGCCTTTGTCCCCGCCAGCCGCGGAGGCGGGCGGCCGCCAGGTGAGGGCGGAAGCTCCCCGGAGGGGCCCCCGCCTTAGTCCCACCCCAGGGGCCGTGGACGGCTGGCCGGAGCGCAGTCAGCGCGCACTTGTACTAACCCGGCTCGTTCCAAAGCGCTCACGGTGCGGGGGCTGCTTTCAAAGCCTCGGCCGGGAGGGACGCCCAACCTGTTCCTAAAGGGGCCTCCGCACCCTCCCACACATTCCCTGTCTTGGCGCCAGCCCGCATCCTAAATGGCACCTGGTTGGCTCTTGCTGTTGTCACAGCACTGCAAGCCTTTCTTTGGGACCTTGCTCTTCCCTTTTATAGAACTGTGCCAGGAAGTCTTCGTGCCTGGCTCACATTTGCACCCCGAACAAAGATGGCCTGCAATTGGTGAAAGCATTGAGGTTCCGAAAACTCCAAACTGCATTGGAAACATCTGCGTCAAACTGGGCGTGGTGTCACACTCCTCTAACCCCAGCTTCCTGGGAGGCTGAGGCAGAGGAAACTCAAGTTCGAAACCAACCTGTGCAATTTAGGGACTTAGCAAGACCGAAAATAAAAAGGAGCTGGGGAGGTAACAGAGTGTGAAGGCCCCAGTTGCAACACTCAGCACCAAAAGATGGGGAGAGAAAGAAAATCAGTAGTTTTTTGCATACTTTGCAAAAATTGTTTGCGTTGCTGTTCATGTGGCTGGACACCACTGAGCACCTGTGTCCACCGACCAGGCCCTTTGGCAGGTGACACTCCAGGGAGCTGATGACCAGGTCAAGCTCAGAGCTCTGGGCCAAGAGTCAGGGCCCCACAAGGCTGGGTGCACCTGGGATCTGCATTCTGGACTGGTGTCCTGTGTCTCATTCAACCACCTGAACAGAGTCCAAACCCACGGGCAGCCGTCACCGTCGAGGGTACTGCCCCACGTAACTTGCAAGCCTCAGGTCTTCAGAGTGCCTCTAGTTACAATGAAGTAAGGTTTTTCTTTTTAAATGGAAACTCAGGAGTGTGCCTGTCAGAATCAACTGCAAGGATATCTTCTTCTCCAGCCCCAAACCTGGGGTGGAACTCGACAGTGCTCTACCCCTAAACTATGGCCTGGGCCTTTTTAAGTTACCCAGGTGGGACTCGAACTCGCGATTCTCTGGCCTCAACCTCTGTGAGTGCCCCTGGATTACAGATATGAGCCACCTCCTGGCTTCCAAATGTGTATGTCTGTAAATTGCTTGCGTGGGTACAGATTAAGTGGCACAGAACTGAAAACGCAGATGAGTGTGTGTGAAACTGAGTAAACTTGTCGGGTCGTATCAGTGCTCATATCCACCTTGCGGCTTTGTTCTGTAGTTTTATAAAATGTCACCATTGAGAGAAAGGTGCAGTGTACATAGGACACATCTTTCTTTTTCTTTTTTGTTATTTCTGTTTTGTTTTTTGAGACAAGATCTCACTATGTGGATCAGATTGGCTCTGAACTCATTGTGTAGCCTAAGCTGACCTTGAACTTGCAGTGATCCTCCTGCCTCAGCCTCCAACGTGCCGGAATTATAGTCATGGTCCACCACATCTGGGTGAATTGGTTGGCTTTATTTGTTTTTGACACAGGGTCTGGCTATGTAGGTCAGGCTAATTTGAATTCATCATGTATCCCAGATTGGCCTCGAACTGGCAGTAGTCTTTCCTGCCTCAGCCTCCTGAGTGCTGGAATTCCAGGGTATGTGCCACCATACCAGGCTAGACTTACAAGTACTTTCATTGATATTCTTGGTGCTATGAAGTTGAGCACATCCATCACTGCACCCCGATGCTCTGTATCATGTCTGTTACATCATCACAGGACACCCTGAGACCAACTGCCCCAGTTTATCTGTCAGGCACCTCCTCTGTTTGAGTTCATTGTAGGCTCCTGGAGGTATTGGCTGTCTCCAGAAAACTCACAACTTGGGGGGATTAGCACAGGGAGAATATGTTTGTCCCTGTCTGTCCTCAGTCTTTTGGAAAGCCAAGGCATGCCTTGTCTGTGTCACTACCCACTTCTTACCATTCAGCTTCATAGCCTAGGAGACCCCAGGTGCTCTACAGGGCATGTGACCCTGGACATCCCTGCACCCCAGGAGCACTGCCTGCTAGCCTGCTGTGCATTCTCTTAGAAAGAAGATTGGTGTATTGGTAGAAGCTTTGCTTAGGCTTTGTCTACAACGAGTCAGTTTATCAGTAAGAAAAAGCAAACTAACTTTCAGGGATTTTATCAGTTGCTAATCTGTGTTAACTGGGGCTTGAACCCACAGCCTGTGCACAGTGCTACATGCTTACCTTTTTATATGTTTTATTTTGAGGCAGTGTCTCACTATGTCTTCTAAGTTGCCCAGGCTGAGCTCAAACTTCCAGTCCTCTTGCCTCAGCCTCCCAGAGTGCTGAGATTACAGGTGTGCGCTGCCATACTCAGCAATAGCTAATCTACATGAAATAAAGATCAAATCATTTTATTCTAATAAGAGATTTAGACTCATTATAAAGTGTTGGATGATATAATTCCGGTTTTTACTTTTACCTTCAAACTAATGGGCAGCCAGGCATGGTCCTGGGCTACAAAGTGAGCCCAAGGCTGGCCTGAACTGCATAGAAAGACCTGTCTCAAAAAGACAAAAAAAAAAAAAAAAAAAAAAAAAAAATTACAAAAGAGTAGATAGGTCAAGCTTTCCTGAAAACTTTTTTTTTGTTTTGTTTTTAGACAGGGCCTTCCTGTGTAGTCCAGGCTAGCCTCCTGCCTCAGCCTCCCAAATGCTGGCATCACAGGTATATGCCACTGTGCCTAGTTCAGAATACCTTTTAATGTGGTATTTTTTCAAAGACAAGATGGTAAAAACAAATGCTTAGCATGCATCAGGCCTGAGTTCCATCCCTAGTTCCAAAAAATAAAAATAATGCTAAACTATCCCACCACTAGCACCTCTACATGTTCCCATTTAAAACAAGAATTTACCACTTGAGAGACTGAGGCAAGAGGATTGCCATGAGTTTGAGGCCATCCTCAACTACGTAACAAGACAACTGTCCCAAAAATAATAATAATAATTTTTTTTAAACCCAGAAACCAAAGATTTGCACTGGCTTTTCTTTTTTTTTTTTTTTTTTTGAGTAGGAAGCTCTTAGTTACTTTTCTCATTGCTGAGACAAAATACCTGACGCCTAAATGTAAAAGGGGAAAGTTTACTTAGCTCAAAGTTTGTAGAGGTTTCAATCCATAATCGGCTGGCAGGGTGGCTTGGCAGAGGAGCAGTGCAGAGGCGCAACAGTTCATGGCAAGCAGAGGATGGCAAAATCAAGCAAGGGACCTTACCAGCGTCTTTGTGCCTCTTTTATATTGTAGTTAGGGTACCTTGTACCATTAATCCCAGCACCCTTGCACCATGAACCAATCACACACTTTAGATTCAGCCACTTCTGAGAAAGCCTCACTTAGGATTGCATGAGGCTTTGGGGGCCATAGCAGGGAATAACTCAGTAACTAGGGATTGAGCTCACAGCCTGCTGCATGAAAGGCATGTGCTCTACTGAGCTACTTCCCAGCCCTCTTTTTTTTTTTTTTTTTTTTTTTTTTTAAGATAGGATTTCACTGTGCAGTTCAGGCTGGCCTTTTTATTCTTAGTTTTTATTTGACACCTGGTCTCATTAAGTTTCCTGGGCCAGCCTCAAATGTCTGAACCTCTTGCTTGTGCCCCCAGAGTAGCTGAAACCACGTGGCATCCGCCCTGGCCAGTGGTGTCATTGCAATGGTGATGGGTGGGGCACTCGGCAGTATGGCAGAGCTCTTGACTCCTGGCAAGCAGGACAGAAGTTGATGTATAGCAGAGGGACAACTTAGCTTATAAAATTAGATTCACAAACTTGCTGCAGTTCCCATTTGTCCACTTTTAGGATGCATTCTTTATAGGGTCACGGGTTTGCCAGCGTGGGGATATATGTCTGAAGCCTCAGCTGCTGGAAGGGCTGAGGCAGGAGGGTCATTTTGGCCCAGGAATTGGGAGCAAGCCTAGGCAGCATAATAAGATGCCATCTCTCGAAAAGTCATGTGTGTATGAAATGTAAATTACATGGCAACCAAGCCTTGGGGGTTTTAGTAGAGGTTGTAGGGAGTGAGTTTGTTTGTTTGTTGACACAGGGTCTTGCTATGTAGTTCAGGCTAGCGCCGAAGTCACTGGCCTCAAACTCAAAGCAGTCTTCCTGCCTCAGCTTCCCAAGTACTGGGGTTACAGGCTTTAAAGCTGCTTTTGAAACACCTTTTAAATAATTGAGTCTAACCAACTTTCCCTTCTGGTAACTAAAACAACTGAATAAGTAGTGAACATAAAAGGCTGGGGATTTAGTTCAGCGGCACAAGAGCCTGCCTTGCAAGCACATGGTCATGAGTTCGATCCCCAGTACCAATTTAAAAAAAAGTAGTGAATATAAATCATGTAATTCATTTAGTATGTGTATATAAATATACCAGTACCTAGCTCTTCAGTTCAGTAGTGTATGAGGGGGGTGAGTCTTAGTTAGAGGTGCTTTTACACAGTACCTCTTTTTTTTTGGCGGGGGGTCTTTTTGAGACAGTGTCTCACTATACAGTTTAGGCTGGCCTTGAGCTTACTTTGTAACCCAGGCTTGTCCTGACCTGTTAACATATCTCCTGCCTCAGCCTCCTGAGCGCTGGGATTACAGGCTTGTGCCACCACACCCAGCTAACACATGCATATTTTAACATACAGTGTTAGAAAAAAGTCATTGACTTCAGCATGAGACTTAGCTCACAGTATTGTGTGCACTTAGCAGACAGGAGGTCCTCGGTTCAATCCCCAACTCAAAAATACATTATTTTTTTTAAAAATAACATAGCCGGGGCTGGGGATTTAGCTCAGCGGCATAAGCGCCTGCCTTGCAAGCGTGTGGTCATGAGTTTGATCCCTGGTACCGGTAAAAATACAAAATAAAATAAAATAAAATAACATAGCCAGTGAGCAGAGATTTCTCAGGCGCTTCTTCCTTAGCCAAGCATGAGGCAGGCTTGCCAAGGAATGTAAAGGATGCAGGGAATATGTAACATTAGCTCTGACCAAGAGCGAAAATATGAATGAAAGCCCACAGAAAAAACATGTTAGAATTAAGTGCTAAATGACTGAACTACAAAAGTGTCTGTAGGGAAAAAATGAAAGTAGCAAGAAGGGGAAAAAGAATGAGTAAAGCCATCAGTAAAATCTTTTTTTTTTTTTTTTTGTACCAGGGATTGAACTCACAACCTTACACTTACCAGGCAAGCATTTGAGCTGCTGAGCTAAACCCTCAGCCCAAGTGGAATCTTTTTTATTTGTTCTGTTTTGTTTTGAGACAGGGTCTCATTATGTAGTTAAGTCTAGCCTTGAGCTCACTTTGTAGCCCTGGCTGACCTTGAACTCAGAGCAATCCTCCTGCCTCAGCTGCCTGAGTGCTGGGATTACAGGCATGTGCCATCTTGCCTGACCCAGTCCCCACTTCTGTAGTTGCACAGCCTTCCTTTCCTGACCTTGCACCTCTGGGCCCTAGAACAGGAGAGAAGAAATGCATGCTGCTTTCAGCCTCACAGTTTTCATCAACAGCCCTACAAAACCAAGCCAGAACAGGTTAAAATGTGCAGAGGAACTGAGCTAACAGTGCACCAAGTTCTCAGTCTGGTGCTGTGCACAGTGGTCACAACAGATCAACACGAATGTGTGATTATTAATAAGAGCTCCCACTTTATCTGGATTTCCTCAATTTTCCCCTAATGTCCTAGAATCCACCCTTTTGTAAGGAGGGGCGTGAGACAGGGTCTTGCCATGTAGCCCAGGCTGGCCTTGAACTCATGGCAGTCTTCCTACTTCTGCCTCCCGAGTGCTGGGATTGCAGTCATGGGCCACCATTTCTAGCTTACCCCATTGCATCTAATCACTTTGTCCTATTTAAGGGCACCCTGAAATGACTGGGGTTCATTGGCTTGCATGTGCATGTGTGCACTCATGTGTGTGCACACACACACATAGGAGTCTTCACATCCTTAGTGTTGAAACAATCCAGGTGCTGCGTGGAACAGCGTGAGGATGGAACCTGAGGCCACTGCTGCTTGGATGTTTTGGAGGACTGCTTTTGTGCGAAATTCCTTCACTGGCTGCTGGCCAAAGTACTTGTTTCAATCGGATCTGTTTTTCTGAACTTCAAGGAATGTAGAAATATCTGACAAGCAGAAGTCTGAGGAAGTAAGTAGTGGAGAGCCACGGTTCAAAGGGCAGTAGAATGTCTCCCTCCCTGTACAGATTCCTCCCAGGCAGACAAAGGAGGGTCCTAACAAGCTGACTGATTGTGCTCATTCTTTACCTTTCTATAATTACACAGATGGAA